CCTATGTACGTACGTACATACACACACACAAGACAACTACGTGCGGGTGCATTCTGGGATGGTCGTCAACAGATGGCAGCTGCTCAAACACAAGATTTGTCAAATCAGACAGCCAACTCGGAGAGGGCATGTCTTGGGCTTGAGATTGCAAAATGCCTGAGATTGGCAAATTGTCCTGCTTGCTGTCTTCGTTCTCCCACACAATACGACTTGAAAGGAAGAAACTTGCACTGCTAGCTGCCAGTTCAGATTAGGAACAAACAATCTCAGTGAGATCCCCCAAGGAGACTGGGACAAGGCATCAGTTCGGCAGCCTGCTCGCTGAAGCCAATTGACTGAAAGCTCGGCGGTTGAACTGGCACTTTGCTTTCCTGCCTGACCGGCCTGGGCAGGACACATCGCTCCCAGATCCAAGCCGGCCGGCACTTGCAAAGCAGACAGTTTTTCACCTCCGCATCAGAGAAGCGTTTTACCCGTCACGGCGCAGGCAGCTGCAGAGCATCAGGTGTCCGCGGTCTCGGTGGGGAAATGCTGAAAAGACAGCCGTTCCTCCTGCAGCTTCACCTATGCAATTCCAGGATAATCCACCTGGCACGGGCAAAGCGACCATGTGCGTGCACAACTCCAGAACCTACGCACCTCTCACACGCTCCCATGTGCTAGTCGAACTCCACCGTACCCGCCATCGATCTTGCACGAGACTTCCGTCCATTGTGCCTCGGGCACCAGAAAATGCATCTTGATTACAGACAACAATTGGAAAGTACGCTTTGAAAACTACAGCCGCTGCAAATTACAGTTCACAGTGCCGCTCAAGTGCGCAGAACTCTTCTCTTTGCCTAAACAGAACAGAACAATAACCCTTGCACATCTCCAACACTCTGCAAAGCTGCATGCTGGGCTTCCGGCGCTTCTTGCCTTTCTGCCGGGTTGCCGACGATCCGACTGTCTGCAGCTTTTGTGCCTTCTTCAGCTTCCATTTCGTTGCCTCCATATACAAGCACATCGCAAGTCGCACAAGGCTCCAAATACAACGCCAGCGAGATTCTGCGCCTGCAAACTCTTGGCCAAGATGCAATCTGGCGGATTCGGGAGCTTCATTTGAGACTCCAGCCGATCCTTGAAACAGTCTGGGGGGGCCCAGATGTCAATATGCCGAACACACAGTCACAGAGAGTCACTAGGAACTGAGAGCACAGTCGGGGAAAGCTGGCGCTCTGCCAGCACGACATGAGCTGGCTAATGTCCAAGTTCCTTTGGGCTCTAAAGGTCAGGACGGCCGCCGAATGTTGCGGTCAACAGCTTCGCGGTGGTTTGAGCTTGTATAGAAAATTGACGCATTGAGAGGTGGTGTCTGCCTGCAGAAAGCTGGATCTCAGACCAAGCCACAGCTCGGACAGGTTCGAAACAGACGAAGCAAGCGGGAGCTCCTACAAGCTTCCCCTGGAGTGAATCCTCGTGATTTTTCTTCATGACTAGTACCGACCACCACACGAAGCCCAGCCGGCATCAACGCTTTCCACAAGGGTAGGCAGTACGGATTCATGCACCCCACATGCATGATTTTGCTCCAGACGATACTGTTGTCAAGCGTCATAGATGTTTCCCAGCTTCAGCGGTGGCGGCAAGATGACATACCTCAGCAAGAACGCCAATATCAAGAATGGCTGACGGATACTATCTGCAAGGCTGAAAAGCACGGATATGCAGTCTTTGCACAGGTTTGTCCGACTAAGCATGATGCCACGAGGACTGAAATGGCGTAGTTTGGCCTACAGTCAAGAAGTCTTTTAGGCAGTCCCCCGCGGATATTTACCCTTGCTCAGCACGCTCTGAAACGGGCATCTGAGAAAGCGGCCATCCTCTCCCACCCAAGCTGGCTTGCACGAGCCTACTAGATCGGTTGGCATGACATAGCTGTATCCTCGGACGAGTGTGGCCCTCTGTGCGTCTAGCATACTCATTCGACAAACCAATGCATGAGGCCCAACTGAAAGCAGGCATCTTCGCAGTGGAGATATGTAGAAGATATTGTCCATTCTCCCGAACCTTGACGTTCTCCGAAGCTGCTAAGGCAAAACACACAGAGTAAAGAAACAGCTTGTGCCCCAAAGACCCAGCTGAACAGTGAACCTTGCGACTTTGCACGCGAATCTTTGAGTGTCGAAGCCATGTCTCACCTAAGCGCCACGGAGCAGTTCAGCGAAGTATGGCTTCTTCGCCACCCAATTCGGCAGCAACAGGAGGCAGGGCTTCTTCAACTTGCTGCAGAACCTGGGAACTGTCCACAGAATGCGTGGCTTTGAAGTGGGCGGACACTTGACACTTGTTCGGACAAGTGTAAGGACATCTGCTGGATCAAATCGCAATGCATGCAAGTTGCTCTAGGCACCGCGGCAAATGATCTGATGAGTAGGGTGGGTTCGTCATGAAGACATGGTGCTCGGGAACTCGACCTTCCCGAATTACTTTGTAAAAATCCTGAGCAGAAGGCTGCTGGAGATGAAAAGCTACGAGACCTTTTAGTGCTGTCTGCTTGGCAACGTGCAGTCCTGGTTCACGTTGTGAACCTTCGTGAAACCGAGCTGCGCCAGATGCTTGACCATTGCCCCCTTACCTTGCTCTGCGGGCTTAAACAGCAGCCGCGCAGTCGCAAGGCACAGATTGGTCACAGGTTGAAATCAGCCTCGATGCAGAAGTATGGGTCCCAGATCTGAAGTTTCTTTGACCGCACACCGAACTGCTCTGCCAACAGCTTCAGCAAGGGCACAACCTGGCAAATCAGTCCCTTCGATCTGGTGACTGCGACACAGCATTGCCGACAAGGTCGCATGGCGGTATGCACGGAGCTCTGTTTCGGCCTGGGAGCTGAGGCAGCCTCCGCCCGACTTGAGCTCAGAACGACAAGGCTCGGACGTGGTCGAGTGGATCAGACTCAAAGGCATGTGCACATAAGCCATTGTGAATCCTCAGCTGCCTTGTCGCACTCTTTGCATCATACATAGTAATGTACTGCACAGTGCCGACGAGGCTGCTCATCTCCAAGGCCGGCATGCGCCGTCGCCTTCAAAGACGTCTGCCAGCACCACACTTAGTCACTTCCACTTCTGAAATTGCACCTTCTCTTGCTTGGAAAATTTCTTCTTCTTCTTTCTCGGTGATGGGCCGGCTTTTGTGCCTGAGGGACAGCGGCTCTCTGTCGAAACACAAGGTCCGGTTTTGTGAAGCGTGACAAGTGGCCCCTCATGCGCTTGCTCCGGTCCAGGCTTTGGCCCAGGCTCCATAGCCACAGCTTTACAACTCACAGGTGTGAATGGACAGTTACCTGTTTCGTACGTTTCACGGCCGACGCCTTCGTTGATCCTGATGCTCGAAAGGCATCATTGTAGACACATGCCCACTGACACTACACTACACAAACTTCCGCCGAGCCGAGCAATGTTCGCCGTGGTCATGAAGAACGTGTCACACAACGCGACAGGGATGAGCTGCTAGAATGTCCATAGATTTCCGGCGCATATCTAAGCGCATGGCAGCTGGCTGCTTGGCTGGAACGGTTGTCGTGTGGGTCGAGGCGGTGGAGCTCTCGACGGGTCATCCCTGAAGGACACTCGCCACCACTGCTGTTCTTCTAATTCACTGCTTGACTGCCTGTGGGTGCAAAGACCCTTGCAGTTGCGAGGCAACAGCAGAGCTGCTCCACGGCTGTACAACAGGGAACAGCCCAAAGGGCGACGACCGACCCTCTCACTCGAACTCTAGTTACTCTAGTTAGATGCCAGTTGGCCATGAATTAAATACAGTAGATACCTGGAGCAGCCCGCAATGATGCGATTATGCGCCTCAGGCGGAGCCTTGTCCTGCAGTTTATGAACCTCACGAGTTCAAATCCGACGCCAACAGGAAGGCAGCCAGTGGCATCAGCTGAGGCGCTCACAAGATGTATGCTAGACAGCAAATGGCAAGAAGGAGGAGCTGCAGAAGCTCCAGGCACGAGGTCACCTCGTTTTTGCTAATTCTAGTGTGGACTGCAGACTCATCATGTCGTCGAACTGTCCAGACAGATTACTGACTGATCAAGACGACAGAAAGACGTCGCTGAGCAATGCTGCTGCCAAGCTCGCAGAGAGCAGCAGCATTGTACGCACCTCCACGCCTTGCAGCAAACACAAAAGATTGACCGCAACAGCGACGCAACTATGCAACCGTTGATACTGCATAAGCTGTGGCGGCTAGCGAAGATATCAACAACGAAAGCACTGCTTGACCTTTAACCATTTCTCGGATCGGTCCAGCGCCACATTGTTTCCACGTTCGATCCATCTGCTTTGGTGTTTGACTTGGTTGTTGCGAAGACGATGCTGCTGCGTTTATCTTGTTCAGTTCAAGCGCCGCATTTCCTTCGACAAAACTCAGCCGCCGTGACCCTTCGTTGGGGAGCAACCAGGCTCCAAATATCAAGTGCTGGATTTCGCGAGACATCGTCTGCCTCCAGCTACCGAATGCTACCTGCGCCAACGTCTCACTACACTGCACAGGGCTCTGAGCACGTGGCTGTGAAGTGACGGCATGACAGCATTAGTACCTGAGCGGTCCCCCAGCAAGTGCTCAACAAAGCCCAGCAAAACTCCAGCCGAGGCACAGGTTCGGTTTGCGGGTAAGGAGTGAAGAAGTGCAGGCTATGGGATACATTCAGCCCACAACTTGAGCGAACGTGGACGCACTGCAAGGACGGCCAAACGAGCACACGAAGGAGTTGATGTCTAAACTTTGGAAAGCGACGGTCAAGCAATATTCTCTACTCGTGGTTGAGCCACAGACTTTTGGTCCTGTAACAACTTGCAAGGCTCCAAGGCCAGTCAAGCTAATGAGCGAGCCCACTTAGGGTCCGGTGCTAATGCGGCACCTCTAGCCCCATTAGGGGTTGGAGGTGGGAGTGAAACCGCACTCACTGCGCGTGTCGTGATGCCAACATCTGAGCCGTGCCGGTACGCGGCCGCTCAGGCAATCTTCTTCCGGGATTCTTTCTGGCGCCTGCCACCACCAAGCGCCGAGACCAAGTGCCAACTGAACAGCAAAACGTACAATAATCGAAGATGCTGGAAGCCGTCGAAGGCTTGGTTTGCCTCATCTCCTTCATCCAGTTGGAGCTTCTCTGCTCCAAATCCTAGGCTCGTCAGCTAGCATCCATGAGCCATGAAGGCCAACGTAAGACACCCCATGGCACCTTGAGAAGGTTCTTCTCCACGTCTTCATCATCCACAGACACCATGCTATCCGCAGCTGATGCGACAGACACACGGCTACCTGGGCAACGCAAGCAACTTCTGCATGTGCGAGCACGCAGCGTTCTAATGTGACTGAGGCGGTTGCCCCGGGGGTGCTGGCTTGGGCTTGCACGTTCAGAGCTCCGTGACTGGCAATGCCGATTTCTCAATTGGCTCTCAAGATGCCATAACTTCGGCTAGAAGCACGACTCGGACTCGTGCCGCCTCCAGCGCAAGCGGCAGGCCCAGTGATGCACTGGCCTTGGCCTTGCTGCAGTCAACACCACGAAGTCAGAAGAATTCTGGGACCTGGGCCGCCGCCGCCGCAGGCATATCCACGGCTGGCAGCTCAACTGCCAGTTGAGACGGCGTGAGTCACTGAGTCTGTGCCCTACTGTCCCCGTCCATGCCTGGCCTGGGAAATCCAAGGATGTCGGAAATGGCAAGTCTGCCGAGAAAGCATGCCAGCGCCGGCACAAGAAAACTCTGACTTGCATGCATCGCACCCACTCAACCGCAAAGGCAATTCATCGACTTTGTGCAGGTGCTTGGTACTGAAGGCAAGCCCTGCACAAATGAGCTGAAGATCAAGCATCTGAATCATACTGGAACAGGCAGAGCTGGGGATGCTTGTTTAACAGTCTTCTGTGCTTCCTCCTACTTGTACTAGTAGCTTTGAGAGTGGTCCGGTGTTCAGGATGAGGCATCGGATGCACGGCCTGGAGGAAGCTCGGTGGGCTGTCGCTGAAATGGTCGCGTCTGGCAGGAGCAGTGCAGGCGCATATTCAGAAGTGCAAGAAAGCTTGCAGGTCTGACCGAGCATCGCAGCAGCACCACACCACAAATTACAGGACAAGTCAGGCGAACCTTTTTCAGAGTACGCTGACGCTCGAGTACCTCTGGCTCCAACGGTGTGAGCATGTTTGCTGATTCCAGGAGCGTGATGCTCTGCGCTTCACCCGGTGGCCAAGATGCTGAGCCTCTGACAGGCCCTGAATCGCCTCTGTGTCGACTTGACTTCCTGTTGCAAACTGGTCTATCGATTTGATAAAGTGTAGAGATGCCTGAAGGGAAGACCGGCCAGGCGTGCATTTCCATCTCCTTCATAGCCTTTAGACGGAACTCCTGCAAAGTAGCTTCTATACTGGCATAGCGACACAGCAGAGGCCCTCTACCTCCTCAAGTTCTTTCTTGCGGCTCTTTGCGCTTTCTGCCTGCTCACTCGTTCCACTGCACGTGCAGCTCCGACAACACTTGGCTCATGCATCAAATGCTACGATGACCACAGCGAGAAAGACACAATGTCGCAGAAACACAAAACGACGAGAAGCGGCAGATTCGTGGCCTGCTCTTGGTAAGGTCCACCAGTATCTGCGCGCGCAGCGAACTCCTGATTTCCGAAGGCAGAGAAACATCACAGATGAAATCTTTGATTTCAGCCACAAGCAGATACGTGTCGGCACGGGAAGTCCCGTCAGGCAAGATTTCCAACGCAACGTGCAGACTGATAAGGTAACATATGACAGGTCCACGGAACAATCAACAAAGACTGGCACATTTCGAGCACGACCTCTCTCGTGCACACTCGTTGGGCTCACCCGGAACGGCACTCTGGAAAAAAAAAACAGCAAAGTTTTGGGAGACAAGGTTGATGTGCCAGCTCTTGTCGAGTGGAGCTGGAGCAACATTGCCCGTACGACAAAAGGCAGACAAGCACACCCCTTCCACACTATGCATGCAACCTCAAGCAGCATCACCCTGATGTGCTCTTGGCAAGACCGTGCAAAGCCGCGTGCCTGCAGCCTCATGGCATGTCGCTCTGCCACCCTGCCCAGACAAGAAAGCACCGCTTGCATGATCTTGCATGTGGTCGCGTCCTCCATACAAAAGAAGCAACTGAGTTGACGACATCTGGTCCCTGTGCTGCACTTTCGAGACGAGTTCCTGTCGCTCCGCAGGAATGCCCAGCTTCGGGGTGCCAGTCTCAGACCTTCTCTGTCTTGTCCAACAGATGAGCTGCATGAGCCTGCCCCAACACACTGCAAGTGACGGGAAGGGCGGTCACGGCTTCGGTGCCTGAGCGCTCTGAATCTGTGCCGACTTGGAAGCGCTTGCCTCGAAGGGTGCAGATTCAAATCGAGCGTCAGAGTGCTTAGATTTCCTCTAGATTTCTGCAGCACCTCGGCAAGCTCCTCGGCTCGCTGCTGCTCCTGCAAGCCAGCGTATGGCACCATGGCACAGTTACCACCGCCTCAGAGAAGATCGCTGCGCACCAGAGCTGCTTTCCGCCGGGCGCCGGCGGCCTCAGCTCAGAGTCTGGGCCCAAGGCAACTTCTGATGGGTCCACAGACCTTCTAGAAGCGTGTGAGCCTGTGCATATGTGTGTGCGCGCTCTCCAAGCATTTGTTGTCGTTACAGGACTGCAGCTGCTGGTCTTCGTCGTCACGCTGTTGTCTTGATTCATTGCCGACATGTTCAACAGATGCCAGATGTGGTTCCCAGAGTGCTTGGTTCGCGAAAAGGTTGCTCCACACTCCGCGTACAGGTCGCCCCAGCATGTCCCAGTCGGCAACTGTGAGGCCCACGAGCTTTGCGACCATGTCTGCGTCGGAGGCAACAGAGCTCATCTGGCGCCTGCAGGGCCGGGCATGGCCGGGCCTACTCAGCCGCTTCTGAGAGCCTTTCCCCGCCTCGAGGCTGCTGCATCGTTGCGCTCCTTCCACTTCTTGCTTCGGTCGGCAGCCCTGCTCGACTCGGCATGGCGTGGCCAGGGTGTGCACTCAGCAATGCTGCCTCATCATGACCTGCTTGTTAATGGCTGCGATGCGCCGCCGACTCTCCTCTGCAGAAGGGCTTCTGCAACACCGCTCTTGTCGGAGTGCTGGTCACACGCACGCTGCAAGCTGCCTCGAGATGTCGATCCTGCTGCCTCAGAATTGGCCAAATTCCTCTCTGACTCGACAGCCCCACGAGCTGGGAGGCTGGCTGCTGTTTCCTTAGGGCTTTTTGCTCGAGCACCTGAGAACGCATCAGCAGGAAGTAGCAACATGTAGCAACCTGCCGGGATACTGCCCGCCTCTGAAAATGTTTGGCTTTTCTGAAACCTGCAGCCACTATTCAGATTCCCCACGTCCGACAGCCCGCACAAACGGCATGCATCACGAAGGCCTCTCTTTCCAAAGCTCACACGTTTTGGAGCGCGTAAGCCCTCTGCTTTGCCCAGGGCCTAACCGACTATCGACCGGATGACTCTCATTGCAACAACCCGGCGTGCACGGGTGCACGGTGTAAGTGCGTAAGAACCGCACTGCCGCTGCCGGCGCTGCCGCGCAGGCATGGCAATGTGACCGCGGCCCCGAGCGGCCCCAGCGAGGAAGATGCATCGCCAGCACCCCGCACCTGTGGTCGCAAGCAAACCCACGCAAGTCTGGACATTTACCTCGAGAAGCCTTTGCGTGCACACGGGCCTTCTCCTCACCGGCAACCTGGGCAGGCAATACAAAAGCTTACCCGAAGTGCGCGTTTGCGTTCAGTCTCCATGTAAATGCGTGAAGCGTGCCCCAACAGAGATGAAACCTCGTGTGGCCCTTGTCGAATTGCAAAGTAAATTGGTCTCTCGACGGGATAAACGACTCAATCAAAACATGTTCAGAACTGAGAACTGTGTAAGCATCCAGGCTGTCTGCTACCAATTCACTTCCGTTTTGCCAGGAATAAAACCAGAAGACTGAGAAAGTACACTTTAATAGGCAACTGAGTTCGTGAATTCAAGAGCCTGATACCAGCACTGTCATGGCTATGGTTTTTTCTACACACCGATCACCTGCGCACACACATCCACACTTTCCGATACGAGAGAACGAGAGCAAAAGAGAGAGCACTGGAATGTGAGAGAAAGATAGCCAGACAGACGGACAGACAGACAGACAGACAGAGAGACAGAGAGAGAGGGAGGGAGACTGGAGGGAGGGATGGAGGAAGCAAACTGGGCACACAAGGAAATATCCACGTAAAGATCTCACGGACGAGGAAGGACCTGGTTCTCCGGTCCAGTTTTCGCGTGACGAAAATTTAGTGAGATCCTTATGTGGTCTAGAAAAATGAGTAACGACAAATTCTGTGAGATCTTTATGTGGTGCTGAATGAAGTCATATTTAGAGGGTCAGCGCCGTGACCGCGTAAAGATCTTCCAAAATTCTTTCGGTTGCAAAGCCCGAGAGGGCTCCTGCTCATCATGTCATACCCAACGGAGTGGCAGCTACGCATTTCCCGGGTGGGATCTTTATGTTTATGTGCGGTCTTGAGGCCTCTCCTCAGGAGTCGGAGAGAGACAAAGAGACAGAAAGACAGAGAGGCGGACTCAAAGAGACAGACCAAGAGAGAGAGAGAGAGTGAGAGAGAGAGAGACCAGAGAGCCAGAGAGCCCCAGAAATTAAGCCATAAGGAGATGAATTTGCAAAGAGAGAAGCAGAGAAGGTGCAAGAACAGGATCAGGCAAGATCTGAGCACATGGCGGCACCAGACTCATGGCTGGGCTGAGACGAGTGCGCACTCCCTCTTCGGCCTCGGCATACTTTGACAGTACAGCGGGGCAGTTGACTCGAATGTCAACCTTGAAGTGTTCATGTTTGGGCTCGCTGGGACACAGACTGTCGCCATGAGCCTGAAGTGGTGAGCTTTTTGCGCTAGCTGCTAGCCAGTAGCCGACTTACTTGAACCTTGCCTTTTCAGTAGCGGCCATCATTGCATGGGCACCCTTCCTGCCCGGAAAGCGTGTCCGCTGCAGAGGCAGCTATGCAAGATCACGTGCAGGCTGCCTCAGGGATTTGCGGCCCTCATCCTTCTTTGTGCTAGCATGCTTGTCCTCCTTCGCCCTGCAGTGAAAGTGCCCTTCTCGTGGATCATGCTTGTCAGCTGGCTGCACAGGCCTGGAGCCAGTGCGAGCCTTCAGCATCCTCCTTCGGAAAGCCTGCATCAGAACACCAAGAGATGCGAGAAGAGTGTGATTGCCCGATGCACCTCAGCTCTGCGATCGTTTTCAGCAACTTGCTGGCGCCATCGTTCAACAGTTTCTGCACCGGGACCAAGGAACAATGGGAACAGCTGTCTGCCGCATCAGCAAGCGCAGCACAATCGCAGAACACAGCCCCTCCTGAGTAGATGTCGTGCGACTTGAGCATCTGCCTTATCCAGTTGCGACAGACTGCTTCAAGCCGACAGGCACTCCTGAAGCAGCTTCACGTGCCTGTGGATATCTGCCTGCGCTTCAGGCTTCTCCTGCCTGGCAAAAGATGGGATGGTTCACATGCCGACATTGAGAGCTGTACGTCCGTGGAGGACTCGAGGAATCACCAAGCAATTTTCGCCAGTGTACCAGTCATATGAGCTGTTACGATCACTGGCCTAGGAGAAGAGGACCGCGCAGTGGGAGAGCCACTTCGGGTACCTCGTGACCTCGATTACAGCGAGGTTATCAGAAGGCATAGGCACACGAGGGGAGCACTGCGGTAGCAGTGACTTCTAATCTAATCTGGTAAGGCATGCACGCATTCTTGTAGTATTCGTCACAAATGCGGTCCTGCTCCGCTCTTTTAATAAGGCCAGATCCAGCGGCAGTCCGCATGTCACGCATGTCATTGAACCCACTGCGTCCTGCTCCCGCAAAGTCTCTCGGAACACCTGGCGTAGCACTGTGCTGCCGTGCCCCAGCAGCAACGCTAGGTTGAAGTGAGGGGCGCTTTGGCAGATCGGGCTGTTCCAGGCAGCGCTGCATTTTAAGAACTACCCTTGAACTCTGTTTGCGGGAAAGGGGGCCCGGGCAGTGGCTATCAAAACTTCTCCTGTTCGCTGTGTGCTGGATGGTTGGGGCTTCGGAATTTCAACATAGATGGCATATATGAGACGCTATGCAAGCGCCCTTGAGTATTCACAGCAAGTGTCGTTCCTTCGGTACAACATGTCCTCGGTGGCCAAGTTGCCGGTATGTACAGTGACTTGGCTGTTTTGCCTGGCTTTTTTTGTGCGCACCTCGGCTCGTTGTGATATTTCGGAGCAAAATTTCCAAAAATTCCAGAATTTCCAAAAATTCCAAAATTTCCCAAATTTCCAAAATTTGCAAAAACCCAAAATTTCCGAAATTTCCCAAATTTCCAAAATTTCCAAAATTTCCAAAACGGCCCGAGACCTAGTGGACAGGATTTTTCCAAAACATAAGGGCGGACTTCTTGGAAATTTCGGAAGTTTGGAAATTTGGAAATTTTGGAAATTTCTGAAATTTTGGAGATTTTGGAAATTTCCAAAATCCGGAAAATTGCGGAGAGAATTTTGGAAAATTTGGAATTGAGTTTTTGAGGGCTGAGTGCCCCCTCCCTCCGATGACAGACCATGCACTACGTGTGAGTTGAAGGGCATGGTCTGTCAACGGGTGGGGGGCGACCATATATATGTATATGTATACATACAGATACACATACACATAAACGTATACATACTCACATGCAGACAAACCGACACACATGCATACGTGCATATATGTTTGCAGGTGAGGCTGGGCCCACAACGCACAGCGCACAAACGTATGGTAGCAGTTGTCAACTACCTGGCGACATCCAACAGACATGGCTGTGAACGACCGATGTACAAGTAATTGTGTCAAAATGCAGAAGCCTCATCAGTACCAACCTTCGCGGCGGCACTGTTGCATGCCATTTTCTAGTGGTAGCGAAGTCCTAGTGTCGTCAAGGTCGCCGTCTTCCAATCCGATGCATTGCACGAAAGGTCCGACATGGACAGTGGCGACGGGAAAACTTGGAAAATGCAACGCAATCTGACCGGCAAGATTCACAGCATGGGTGCAAGAATTCGACTTCCGCCTCCACATATGAGACAATATCCCAAACATTCATCACTGATCTTCCGGGGAATGCCACAGTCAGGGGGTGGCCCACATGACGGGAATTGAACAGTAGCCGGCACAGGCACAGGCTCTGCTACCTTCCATGCCTTGCCTGATGTCTGGGCAATCTGTGGCCGCGTGAATTCCAACTGGTCAGCAACCTGTGCTGTGGATTCCTGCTGGTTGATGCTATCGAGAAGCTTGCGCTGCTCTGCATCACGTGATGCGTCGCTGAACATGATACGGCGAGCACTTCCCATTGCAGCTACCCCGGTCTGTCCAAAAGCATGACGGGTGTGAGGGATCATTGTTGTGTCTGCTGCAAGAGACTCGTTGCCGATGCACCACCGCTTCCACCTTTCGTGCATCGTCTCCGAATTGGCTTCTGATGCTGGTAACTTCCGTCCCAATATGATCAGTGCCATCAAAGGCAGCAAAATCCAAACCGGTCCCACTCCATCTTCCTGCCCTTGCGCTCCTACAGTATGGAATGGATATCGGTCGATGGCTAGCAAAGCTGGAAACACCAACATGCATGCAACGAATGCGACACTGCGCGAGCATTTGGACTGCAGATACGCGGTATGACTTCTTCAATCGTGGTTTGATTGACACGGGTCACGGGTATGTACGAAGAAGAACGGAGTGATGTCCTTTGTCTGTATGTCAGCTTCACGGCGTCTCATCGGCATTAGGCCACACAGGAGATCTTGACACCTATCCTGGCAGGGACCTGGGGATGGCTGAGACTGAAAGAACTGGCGACTTTCTCAGCACGTCTCTAAGACATTCCCGAGTGACCGAGTGGTGATCCTCGAGATTGGAAGCGAAGCCAATTCTCTCTCTCGGGGCCTTCTGTTGCTCGCTTCGTCTCTGCTGTGCTGCAAACGCACGCCGACCTGCCAACATAGCGAAACAGCAACAACCTGGTGCACCGGACAACTGCTCAAGGTCGGGGCGGTGCTCCTCTGTGATTTCACGCTGCCTGATTGCATGTCCGAGGCCACACGAGTGTGCGTGCCGCACTCCACGGGCCCAAGCCTTTCTGCAAGACGCGCCTCGGCAGCCTGTAGTGCCAGGCGCGGTATCAAGGTCGCTATGCTCGCGGAATCCTGCCTCACTCTCCATCTGCCTTTGCTGGAGCTTCCGCCGCCCCTTGGCACTGTAGCGCTTCGAGGCGCTGCTGGGGTGCAGACAGACTTATCGGTCCTCCTCTGCATGCTCCCTCCTCTGTTTCCAGAATGCTTGCTTCTTCTCCTGGTCAGAAGATCTTCTGACAAATGGTGCTGACACATGTTCGCATCTTGTGCATGCTCTTTTGTCCGAAAGCCACGCGCTGCCATGATCATCTTCTTCTCGAGGAAACCGAGCTTGTGGAAAGTCATGCTGTCCCTAAACCCCCTGCGTTCACGTTCCATCACATGTCCTTCACTTAGTTCTTGCCTTCCAGACCGTTGAGCGTCAAGACCACGCAAGACATCGCTGTACCTCTCATCCTAACCTTTCACCGCTAGGGCGCCTCTGCCAGATCGGGCACGTTTAGCTTCTGACCTGCAGTATTGCAAAACGAAGCCCAACATGTCCTGCGAAGTGCCACCCTGTCACCAGGCACCACGGAGCTGCTAGGGTCCTTACCGGGCTTGCTGATAAACCTGGATTCAGTCAGCTTATTCACAAGCATTGCAGCTCAGTCGGGCTGAGACTCTGAGATGCCTGCCCGTCTCTTTTTGACGCTTGCCTGCACAGTCTCCACATCGGGCCAAGCCTCAGTGATGGTTCATGCTCCCTGCACGCAGGAAGGCAGAGTCTGAGTTGAAAGGATCACTGATGAAGCCAAGCGGAAACACAAATTCCAGCAACAAACTTGACCACAGCCAGCCGCGCCATTCTTAGACCACGCCTTCCTGTGGATTAACAACATGTGCCTACAGTGTGGCACGGTTGCCTTCCAAGCGCCTTCCAGTGTGCCGAATTTCTTCCCGCACATCGAATCATCTCTTGGTAGGATGCTACTTTCAGACTTGCGGCTTGCTGGCCCTTCGGTCACAAGAACATGGAAAGCCAAGAATGTGCGACCAGCACACGGGACCCTGTGCCACAAGCTCCAACGTCGGAGTTCCACTCTTATGAACCGACGGCTTGCCAGCCCGAATGTGTCCTACCCCATGCTGGCAGACCACAATGCCATCACATCAACCTGAAAACCCCATGAAGAACCTGTCAAAAGTGTCAACAGTCAGTCAGTCAGTCAGTCAGCCAGCCAGCCAGCCAGGCAGGCAGTCAGTCAGTCAGTCATACGCCGGGCGGCGCGTGGACAGGTAAACTCGCTCACCGCACGATTCCAGACAAGAGGATTCTGTACAAGTCTGGTTATCCCACGGTGGCTTCCAAAGAATTGACATGCTTTGTCCCTAACAAATGTGACCCATTCTCGTCGCGGCCCCCCCACCCTTCTCACATACATGCTTGTGGCAGGCTGCAGCGTTCCACGAATAGATGCAGAGCTGTGCAGATCGCAGCACTCTACGGAAAAGGACGAGTTGTCGTTTCAACAACATGTGTGTAGCAGCGGGGTAACAAGTTCTGCGCAAAACTTCTGTATTGGGCACTCTCGGGGTGGGATGCCGAAGATACTTCTCAAGCGACGGTTTTGAAAGCCATCAAGACGCCGACGATCCGTGGAAGATAAACACAAGCAGCTCAGGGAATACATCAGCTTCGATTCAATAAGAGCTTTATAGATTCAAACCTTCCGGTCCCGTGATAATGAGAATTTATCCAAACTTTTTGGAGCTTCAGAGGTGTCAACAGATGCAGCAGTTTCATGTGAGGCCACACTGCCATGTGCAAGATTGTGCAAGCACAAACTCGGCATGAAGCCTACCAGCGAAATACAATGCAGACCCTGCCCGAGGCCGCAGCTTTTGCAATCGATGTCAGACACTCCTCCAACTCCTCTTCCGCTGAGCTTTCTCCTTCACTTTCCCAGCTTAGCCGGGTTCGACGGTGGTAACCGAATCACTTTCACGTCGACCGGTGCCTGTACTATCAAGACAGAACGCCAGCACTTGGCGATACCATTTCACCTTAAGTGCCGCAGGCAGCCACGTGACACGTCAGAGACATCATGTCATAGCACCAATTGAGGCCGAGGTCACGACCTGCTCAAGCTTAGACTTCGCTTCCTCCCAAGATACATTCGCATTCGCCTGGTTCTGGCAGGCTTTAGGCTTCCTCTTGTAGCGGCTGCCCATGGCTAGTGCGTGACCCACTCTGCCTGCAGCCAAGTCACATCTGCGGAAATCCGAGTTGCAAGACGATGTGCATCCGCGTGGATGCGCGCTCGAGCACGCAGATTTCCAGCAATTGCCATCTCTTCTGGGGAGTTAATCTCAACAGCCCGAAGCAACTTCCAGAAATGCATAAACTTGTCGTCAGAGCCCAAGCGTCGCCTTGCCTCGTCGGCATCAATTTCGACACCATCCCTTGCAAGCCCTTGGACACTCCTCTCCATGTACTCGGCGTGATCTGGAGCCCGTGGATGGTGCACCAAGCGAAGCAGCAAGCCATCTTCGGAGTCGTAGCATGATTCGACGGACTTGGATTTCCGTGCACACCGACTCAAGCACCCCTCGAGACGAGCACACTGTGGCCTGCTAAGGATAGCACGTGCAGGAACCCATGGTGGTTCCGGAACTCTGGACTTCTTGCTGTTTGGTGCCTTGTATGCCGCGAGGAGCTCCTGAACTTCGAAGATCAAACCTTCGGTGACTTCCTCACTCAAGTCATCTGCATCCGGGGTATTCCTGCCCTGCGCATCCTGATCCTCAAGGCGAGTCTTCACACGCAGCTGACCGTCTCGGAAGAAGACTACGAAAGCATCCGCATTTTGACGCAGGAAGTGTGCATTAATTTGCACAGGGCAGTGCTTCTGAGCAGCCACGGCCGTCTTGACCTGCTGGTAGTTCAGAATTTCATTCAGATTGGTAGAGCCACCAGAACCCAGGGCGTTGCTGAGAACATCAACAGCATTCCGCACAACCTCACGCAACGCCAAGAAATTGGCTTGATAGGCAGAGTTATCGACCTTGTTGATCGAACCCTCCATCCTCTTGCTGATAAGCTGCCAAGCTTTCAGAATCCTCTCCTCCACCTCGGCCGCAGAGACGTCCAAGAGTTTGCCGAAGAGATAGAGCTGAAAGAAAGCATCGTCTGCGGCATAAGCTCGCTGCTCTTGGCTTAATTTGCCGTTCGCCCAGTTGGAAGTGCCCACCATCTTCAGCTTGCGTATAGGGACGTGAAAATACTGTGCCATTTTGAACAGACCACGTGGAATGCTGCGCGCATCCGCAAGATCGGCAATGTCCCAATAAGATGCCTTGACGGCCTTCGAATCAAAATCCCAGCCGAAACTCCGGAGAAGCTTTTCCTTGTCTGCGTGATCGAAGCTTGCAACCACTTTGATGACCTCATGAGCACCGGTCTCCAAAAAGCTCTGGAGCCAAGCTGGCAGCTCCGAGCAACCCACAGTCCTCAGAAGGATCGCCGTGTCCCAACAGGCGACTTGGATCACGGCTATCCGATTATTCTCTGCAAGGGCTCTGTCAGGCTTCCACTCGAAATCCAGTCCCACCAATAGAGGATGATTTACCGCGGAGAAAGCCGCGTGGAAGCGGGACAAGGAAATGGCATCCTCAAAGATCTGTTGTGTGGCCTTGTCCCACACCTCACACTCAACGACATGGCCTCCAAAAGTAGCATATTCGGCTGAAACAGGAGACGCGCCATGCAGTGCTGCAGGCATCCAGATGACAGAGAACCGGCCTGGCCTGAATCAGTAGCTCTTGAGAGGATCTGCACGTGTTATATTGAACACACTATGACTCCTTGCCTCTTGCTGATCTAGAGTCTAGCCCCACTTGTCCCTCCACAGACATCCGCAGAACCCCCAAAATGCGTCGTCAATCCGAGAGCCAATGGCATTTGCAACTGCGGAGCCAAGACTGAGAAAAAAAACCACAAACATGACTTGCTCCCCTGCACAACCTGTGAAGACGATAAGAAAGTGTGTGAAGCATAAGGATGACATAGAAGGTGTGAAGCTCGTCAAGCCTGTCTCGTCAGTATTTGCTTGGCCACGGTCCAGGCTTGCTGATCGAAAGTGCTTGCCTGACTCAGGGAAGTATCGCGCTGCTGGGGAGGAGACGAGTCTTGCTTGCCATGCCTCGTGCATTGATGCAGAGGTTATAGCAGACCTTAGTAAGCTCTTCACTTGCTTGCTGAATGAGGGGCAAGGCCTGGCCTGTCCCCAATCTTGCCCACACGTTGCAGTTGGTTCTTACATGCATGTGCTCAAGCCCTCCCCGTGCCCTGCAGGCATGCGCTTCCAAGTCTCGAAGGCAACTTAAGGAACGACAGTACACCGTATATGCTTTTGCTCGGTCGGCGACTGGGAGTGGCGACTGAAAGAAGACCTGAGGTGTTGCGCACGCTGAAGAGCACCGACACGGAAGACTCATGACCATGCGGAGTACGAGGTCATGTTCCGTCGACGAAAAACTATACTGCCCTCGGAAGACAAATGCCGTTCAGAGACTCGTTTCCATTGTTTTGAACTGGGTCTCCCACCAGCTCCGGAAACGCTGAGAGCTCCCAGCCTTTCAGCGGCTGGTGCTATCGCTAAAAGGTGGCAAACTGAGCTTTGTGACGAGCAAAGCACCTTGGAAAACGCATCCGAAGCCTCGGCCACACCGCAAACTCATGTGGCATGCGAGCACCTGGCTACTATCAAGACGCTGACGCTTGGAGAGATGGCCCCAGCATCGTCTTCCTGCTTCCACCATATCACGAGTTTAACTTGAAGTACGTGGTTGGCGCTTGCAGTTGAAGACAAGCCTCTACCATTTTTCTCAAAATTCCTTGCAGCACAGCCTGTCGAGAACAGCCAAAAAGAACATTCGGTACAGCAGCATCGACATCCGTTCCGACGGCCTCCTGCTTGCTAACCAAAGCTTTTGCTTTCTGGGTCCGCGCGAGACTTTGGCGCCGTTCATGCATAACCTCATGTCCATATGCATTCAACATACCTACAGTACGTGCTTCCTCTTCTTCCTTAACTGAGAGACAGATGCGGACATGCAACGAAACAAAGGGCGAATATTTATCTGCAGGCTGTCTGCAGGCATGCATGCAAGCGTGGATGATCATGGATGTACAAACATATGCACATGTAAATATACATAGGCACATACGTACATTCCTACATACGTACATACATACATACATACACACACACAATGCACATAAATACATAGAAAATCATAAAAACATATAAAAAAATCTATCACTATCACTTTCACTTTCGGCGATCCGGAAGTACGAGCTTCTGCGAACGAACTTGAGGACCTGCAGTATGCCCGGCGCTATTGCGGTGCGGCGGGTCGCCGATGTGTTATCATCGGCTAGCCAGATCTGTGGACCTTCAACTACGTTTAGTAATGCTGAGAAGAAGGGCAATGCGTGAGGTTTTGGTACTGGCTGTTGCCTGTATCGCTCTCCTCACCAAGAGCTGATATATGTTTTGTTGGTTGCCCCTGCCAAACTTCCACTGATGGTTAGTGTGCGCACCAAACTTCCCTTGCAGGCAAACTCGGTCAGCTTCTTTTCTCGTCGGAATGCAAGCAACGAGTCTGTACACGGGATGGCTCTCTTTGCTTCTTGACCGATTGCAGGCGTCCAGCTATTGCTAGCTAGGCAGTAAGCGTATGCTCTTTAGCATAGCCTACACATTGGTCTTGAGCCAAAGTTACGTGGCGGGGAGCGTATAAGATTGGCAATGTCCCATGGTCCGACTAACGGTCCCATGTAGATGAAGGTGTGAGACAAGACCCGCGAGACGGTGTCTTGCGCTATGTACATGATGAACTCATGACATGGTTCCCATAACTCTGATACTGACGCCCTCGAATTGCGGGCCCCAGGAGCACATGTAATCACGAAATGGACTAGGCATCGAGGTCCGTTCGCAGGCAGCATGCAGGTGGTATGTTGACATACGAGTACAGAGACCATCAACAAAACACGGGACTTCTACAGACACATCAGGCGCAACAGCGAACCGGCACTTCACTGTCCTATCATTTTCACTGCTTTAATGAAATCTACCAACCTGCACCACAAGACGCTCAGGCAACACAGCCGCCACATGCATGGCTTCTTGTGTGTGCCACTCGTTACGCAGCTTTTGCACGGTTGCACCGCGCATGCTATCCTGCGAAGCGTTCTCAGAAGGCTGTATCAAGATTGGTGCAGAACCACCCCTGTCCACAGTCACATACGAGCCATGTTTCGCTGTGCTCTAGCTTGCCAATGCATCATCAGCTTTTCAGTCGTGCGTGGTTGCTTGTTAAGAAGAAATTGAAGAAGCTCTGCCGCATCATGTTGTCGAGCCGGACGCTGCCATATAAATACATACATGACATACATACCCACCTACCTACCTATGCGCGTACATACATGGACACACATATACATATACATATACATATACATATATATATATATATTTATTTATTTATTTATATACATTTATACATATATACATATATTTGTATATATATATATATATATATATATTTATATTTATATTTATATATTTATTTATTTGCTACCCCCCGCCCCCCCCCCCCCAAAGACCAAGGTTTTCAAAGACGAACATTGGTGGATGTGTGCCGTCTCTGGGTCCGGATTGAGTGCAGAGGCATTGATTGCAGTATCGCGGCGAAGGTGATGAAAGAACTTTCCGATTTGCAGTGCAGAACACTATGCAGCCGGCACAGGCAAGTTTCAGAAGGCGACTCCGCGGGAGACCGAGTCAAATCAGGTTGGGAGAGTGGGTCACATCAGCTGTCTGCCGTTTTGGAGGACACTGGAAGCAAGATGACAACCAGCAGCAAGCCTAGAATGGCACATGTGCAGTCAAGCCTGCCAAACTCAACACATGCATCACACTGGTCGCAAGAGCAAGGCTTTTCCGGTAGGCGCAACGATGGCTCTGGGCTCACAAAACTCCGACCAGTAAAGGTACTGGGCATTGCGGACCTTCACCCTCATGAGGCTACTGCCGGTAGTGCAATGCTGATTGAGGGAAATGCGATCCTTCATGTAGCGCCATGCTCTATCAATAATTTGGGTGCCTGCCTTGGTCTTCAAAGGCTTCGTGCGACCTGGAACTTTATGGGTTGTGACATATGTTGGGGCCTTCCACACAAACTTGCCTCCAACCTTGACACGCTTCTTGGCGTGAACAACATTGTCATGAACCACCCCATCGACACGGATCTTATAGCTTCTATAGCCGAGTCCGTGTGGAAAATGACAGAGCGGCCCCTCAGGTACTTGTTGGCCAAGGGCACCCATTCCGTCTTTCGCACAGCACCCGGGCCTGGTGCTCGCCGCACTGTTTTGGGAGGATTCAGCCGATGAAGGACGAGGCTTTCTGGACTCCCACTGCATAGCCTTAGTTGGATCTGCATCATCGGTACGGGTCTTGTTGAAGGTGGCCTCGTCACCTTCCACGTCGACCCAGGAAATACCATCGCCCAGTTTCATGGTCTTTTGCCGCTCCTCTACGAAATCCTTGCGCAGTGTCATGAGGCTCTTGTCCATGTCCTCTATGGCCTTGTGGTTGATGCCCAGAAGCTTATGTGCCTGCACATTGGGTGCCTCAGTGAGCTTGAGAAGAAGCGCCGATGCCTGGACCTGCAGACTGTGGCCTTCGGGACCACGGCATTCCTTGAAGAATGGGTGGAGGTAGTGCGGGTTCATGTACTGGAGGCACTTGTAGTGGCTGCACCTGTACTTCACGGAGGAGGCAAGACCAGGTTTGGAGATTGGGCCTGAAAGGGGACCACGCTCACACCGAGGGCACGTGCGACCTTTCCAATCCAACAAGATTTTATCCTCTGTGAGCATCTCGACAATGGCGGAGTTACTGGCATTGAGAAGTTCTGGTATAGTTCGACGCCAGTGTGTTTGCTCATGACGAAGACCACGAGCACCAACTGGAGCAGGAACCCGAACATACGCGACGGACTTGTATTCCTTGGACTTGGTAGAAGCTGGGCGTTTGAGCGCACTGCGGAATTTCCCCTTCTTCGGAACAAAGGAGCTCGGCTTCTTCTGCATCTTGGGAGCCATGTGTGCAACAACTTCTACACAGACCAAAACCAAGATCAACACCGTGCAGCCGAAATAGTACTGCGGCAAGTCAAGCTGCAAGATCTAGGATGAACACAAAGCAGACTGCTGAGAGCCTTACATTGGTCAAAGTGCTGCTAGCTCTGTCCCACCACGGCTTTTTTCTTGGACGCACAAAAATGATGTGGCTGATACAAGGCATCTCAGCCATGCAGGAAGCGCGCTGCGTCCTCGTCCCCCTCAGCAACATCCATCTCGTGTCCGGAATCATCGGCTGGATCGGCATGTTCCTGGTGTGAGGCCGCCTCCACCATGTCCTCTCCGCCCTCATTGGCAGCTGGGATGTCTTCGTGCTCAGCATTGTGTGAAGAGGAGGCCGGGACGATCGGAGTCGTAGGAGACATAGAAGACTTGGACCTGATTCTGCGTAGTTTTAGAGCAGGTGAGTCACCGAAGTGGAATCGGCTACGGTCAACGTGATTGGGCGCGGCGCCTGTCCCACTGTGCCGTGAGAGATGAAGACCACCCATTGCAGCAGCCGGCTGCGTGTTTTCAGGCGAGTCCGGCGAATCTGGAAGTACACGAACTGGACGAAGCCACTCCTGCAGCTTGCTACTGCAGTTCTCTATGTAGTCTTGGATCCTGGGGAAGCTGTTCATGTACTCCACACGCGAGTCGATCATGGCTTGCTCCCTCTGAACATCTTCCTCAAATGTAGGTCCATACATGGTAACGCCCTGCTTGTAGGACGCATAGAGCCCTTTATCTCTGTCTGCGAGAAGGTCTAGGTAGAGGCTCTCTTTGACAATGCGGTGTACAATCGCCTTGGGCTGCTCAGAGGGGAAACGGATGTACAGAGCTTTCTCTGTGAAGACAAGGGTTGTGACACGCTTCATGACCGCAAGGATATCCTTTATGTGATCCATTGAACATCGGCTTGATGAGTTGAAAGAAGGCCTCGGAATCGAGAGTGGCGTCCGACGGCAGCACATCAGACGGCTCCCCGCCAGCGTCGTTGGAAGCCATGGCTCTCATTTGGTTACGGGTCATGCGGGCATCGTTGTACCTGCCGCTCACAGTACCATCTTCGTCTGAAGTGAAGAATGCCTTGAGGTCCGCAATGTCGCTTCGTCTACGTGAAGGATCATCCAGGAATAGAGCTTCTTGGATTTGGGGTGCACGCTGCCTGAAATTGTCCAAGCTCTTGCCACGCCGCCAGCCTGGTTTGACGCCTTGTAGTTGAAGTCGTCTGACATGGTACCTTCCGATGGCCATACACATGACGATGATGGCTGGTGTCTTCCCCACACCAGGAGTGCCCAACATCAGCACTGCAGTGCTCATCAAGAGGGGGTAGATGAGAGGCAACACGTGGTCGACGAAGGGGAGGCGGAGGCTATACGTGGTGAGTGGAAATTCCATCTTCGGAACAGCCCCGGACACACCCCGGGACTTGTTCTGGCACATGCTCCGGACTTTCACCTCGGGCCACCCGGGAATGGGAGATCCTGAGTCGTCTTGATGTTGGTTAATACCCAGCACGTCTGTTCGTTGAGTCCATCGCATTCTGGTGCGTGTTCATTGATGTAGCGGACGCCGGCGGAGAGTTCATCGTCCTCAGGCGACCATTGGGCAGACGCGGAGCGCTGCAACCTCTGCTCGTGCTTGTCCTCTAGGACATGCCACCTGACATGAGTGCCGGCAACCTTGTTGAGAGCCTTCTGAATGGCTTTCTTGACGGTCCAGGGCCCCTGACGGAAGACCGGCACATGTCCATGACCACTGCATAGTTGCAGTGCGATGCTGCTCGGGATTGGTTTCTCGAAGTAGATAACCTTCAAGATACTCACCAACCCATCGCC